TCCTATCAAGAGGTAAAGCTCTCCTTCCCCCCATTGTACTTGGGATGGTCTTAGTGACTGACCTCCAGCAAAAAAGAATGCTTTAATGCTGAGAGTGTAACTCAGTGGTAGAATGCTGGCCTAGCATGTGAGGCCATGTTTGATCCCCAGCACCAAGCGCGCGCGCACACACACACACACACACACACACACATACACACACACAAAATGCAGTGGAAGTGACACTGCATAACTTTCAATTCTAGGTTAAAAAAGATACTGGAGCTTCTACATGGGCCTTCTACCTGTTTCTTGGGACACTGAACCTTATACTCAATCGCCATATATAGAGAGAGCCATATGGAAAGGCCGCGCATAGGCATTCTGCTCACAGACAACTAAAGTTTCAGCAATAGGTAGCATTAATAGTCAGATGTGTGAGTGAAGGAGACTRCAGATATTTCCAGTCTCCTGGCCTTCGAGCTACCCATTCTGAATCCTATCTAAACTGTAAATTCATGAAGAAAAGAAATGCTTAAATTTTAAGCCTGTACATTTTGAAATGATTTGTTATGCAAGTATGCAGAAATGGAACACATGTATACTCACTTTGTGAAAACTCACTGAACTGTATATGTACTTTTCCTTAAGTATATTATAATTATATTTGAGAAAAGGTCTGAAGTAGAAAAAAAAGTGAAAGTTCTTCAATAAACTTCATACCTTATTGAGAAGTTTTACATAATTCAATATTCTATATCTTCCCTGATATTTTGCTTTATTCTTAAAATTACATAATACAATGAATGGTAATGAAATTTTTATCACACCTCATACAGACACTTGCTAATATTCATCAGTTTATCCTCACTAATTGCTCAATTCTTATCATTTATCATGTGTTGGTATGGGGAAAAAATGTTAAGAAGCACTGCTGTAGCAGACACCTACAACAATTTTCTCTTCTTCTGTTGATAGGGCCTCATTATCCTTTGGGAAACTACCTACCCCCTTATCAGTGAAAGTAGCCAASAGCTGATTTTCAGCTTTTCCTTTAATTCTATTATACTTTACATCTTTCCAATAAGTGTATTATTTTATTTGAGTTGGGAATATTTGTCTCTAGTCTTTTCAACCAAAAAACACTTAGTGATACATATCTTCATTGCTAGCACACTGTCTGACATAGATTTGAAGTTGAATAAATATAAAATGGACAACTAATTTTTGACAAAACCCCTGAGGCAACCCAGTAGAAAAATAATAGTCTTTCAACAACTATTTCTGGAATAATTATCTATTTGCAACAAATATAAACTTGAATCCATGCTTCAAATCATGTACAAAAGTTAATTCAAAGTAAATAATAAAGGCTGGGGATGTGGCTCAGTGATAGAGTACTCACCTAGCATGTGCAAGGCACTAGGTTTGATCCTCAGCACCACATAAAAATAAATAAATAAAATAAAGATATTGTAACCAACTACAACTTAAAAAAAATATTTTTTAAAAAAAGTAAATCATAAACYTATGTACAGTCTAAAACACAGAAAGAAGTCTTTGTAATTTTAGTAAGCAAATATTTCTTAGAGATAAACTAAGAACATGGTCCATAAAATAATAAATTGGACCTCATTAAAATTTAAAATTGGGCTGGGGATATAGATCAATTGTTAGAGCACTTGCCTTACATGCACAAGGCGCTGGGTTCAATCCCTAACACCATACACACACACACAMAMAMAAAAAAAAAAAAAAAATTTAACTTCTCTTCAAAACACACTGTTAAGAGAATGAAAAGACAAACTACATACTGGGAGACAATATTTACAAAGCATTTATCTGACAAAGGCCTTGTATCCAGGATATATTTTTTAAAACTTTCAAAATTTAAGAAAATAAGCAATCCACTTTTTGTAAAAAATGAAATGAAGATCTGATTAGACTCTAAAAGAAATTCAGATGGCATATAAACCCATGAAAAAATGCTGTTATGGTTTGGGTATGAGGTGTTCCACAAAACTCCTGTTAATGCAGGAATACTCTAAAGTGAAATGATTGGGTTGTGAAAGCTATAACCTAATCATTTCATACTCATTCGAAAGGTCTGGGTGGTAACTAGGCATGTAGTGCAGTGGCTGGAGGAGATGGGTCATTGTGGGTATTCCCTGGAAGGGTTTTTCTTCCTGTGGTCCTTCCTCTCCCTTTGCTTCCTGACCACACCATAAGTTGAGCAGCTTTTCTCTGCTGGACTTTTCTCCCATGATGTGCTGCTTCACCTTGGTTCCAGATCAAAGGAGTCAGCCATCCATGGACCTCTGAAGCCATGAGCCCCCTCTAAGTTACTCCACTAAGTTGCTCTTTTGGTCACAGAAATGCAAAAGCTAACTAAAACAGAAACTGGTTCCAAGAAGTGGGGTTGTTGCCATGACTAACCTGACCGTTTGACTCAGAAGCCTTCGGAACTGTTTGGAGGGAGAAATTTTGAAAAGTTTGTACATGCAGGCTGGAAAAAGCTTTATAATGTAAGCTGAGCTTAAAGGGTGATTCCAGTGGGGGGAGTTCAGAAGACCAGAATGGTGACAGAAGTGCAGATTTTACTTATGAGGTTTCAGAGGAAATGAGGACAGCATTGGAAATTAGAGTAGAGGCCACTTATATTCTGGCAAAGAACTTGGCTACATTTTGCCCATAACCTGAGACTTTGTGTGAGGCTGAATTTAAAGGTGATGTATTAATTAACCTGGCAGAAGAAATTTGAGGACAACAAATTTCAATCAGTAGCATGGAAACTGCTGGCAGATTTTAGCCAGGTTTACTGTGAGAATAAGGAGCAGGAAAGAGATCTAAAGAAGTTCTAACTTTTACAGTTTGACCAGAAAAGTGCTTGTAAAACTGGGGTCAAAAAAGTTGTTCTTTTTGAAGAGATTGCAGTCCCTAAAGATATGCTATGTACTTTGCATAGAAATAATAGAAATGATGGTTAGGGGCATCTCAGGAATTTGCAAAATCATACCAACTATAGGCTTCAGGGCACAGAAGGGAAATTCACTTGAGAAGAGATTCTGGGGGGTGCCATGCTCACGCAGAGGGGCCTAGAAAGTTGTTTCACCATGCTTAACTGTGCAGGCACTCAGAGGCCACTGCAGCCAATATTCCAAGGGGCCCAGGTATTACATAAGCAGGCAGGAGACCTTGGCATCATCTACATGGTGATTATTCTGTGGGAATGTAGGATGCTGGAGTTCGGGGATCATGGAGGTTTCCACTGAGATTTGAAGGGAAGGCCATGCAAAGCATGGCAGAGTTGGAGTCCCTGCAGGCTTCCTGATGGAAATATAAAGAGATACAACCACTCTGGAAAATATAAAAATTTCTTAGAAAATTAAACACACACCTTCTACAGGAACCAGCCATTCCACTTTTAGTTATCAAAAAAAGAAAAGAAATATGTACATATATATTTCCTTGCACACAAATGTTCACAGTAGCTCCATTAGTTAATAGCTTGAAACTAACACAGGCTAAATGTCCACCAGCAGATTAAGTGGATAAATTGTAGTACATCCACACAATGGAATACACTTTGTAATAATAAAAGAATGAACTACTGGGCTAGAGTTGAGGACTGGTGGTAGAGCGCTCGCCTAGCACATGCATGGGCGCAGGGTTTGATCCTCAGCCACATGAAAATAAATAAAATAAAGGTATTGTGTCCAACTACAACAAAAAAATAAGTATTTTTTTTAAAAAAGAATGAACTATTGTACACAGAAAATGAGTGAAAAAAAACAGACCAAAAAAGGATACATTTGTGATTTCATTTATATAAAACTTTAGAAAATGCAGATGAATCCATACTAACAGAAAGTAGACCTGTTGTTGCTTAGGTGTGTGAGGTAGGGAGGAAGTTACAAAGGGGCAGGAGAGAAACTTGAAAGTAATGGACATATTCATTTAATCAAAGCAATGGTTTCAGTGTTGAGGGTGTATGTCAAAACTTTGCAAATTGTATACTTTAAATGTGCTCCATGTTTATTGTATGTCAATTATCTCTCATTAATATTATTTTAAAAATCTGCAAATAGCTGTCAGATTTTAAGGAGATTGAGCCCAGCACAGTGGCACACACCTGTAATCCCAGGGGCTCAGGAGGCTGAGGCAGCAAGATTTCAAGTCCAAGGCCAGCCTCAGCAACATCGAGGCACTAAGCAACTCAGTGAGACCCTGTCTCTAAATAAAAAACAAAATGGGGCTGGGGAGGTGGCTAAGTGGTCGAGTGCCCCTAAGTTCAGTCCCTAATACCCATYCCCCCCCMMAAAAAAAGATTTTAAGGAGACTGGAAGGGGTAAAGAATGGAAATCTCAGTTAAAGGCCTCAGTGAGGTTTGTGAATCACACAAGCATACAAAGAATCCACACTTCTTCCACTCTGCTGAACCTTAAGGGTTTAAAGAGTCATCTCACTGACATTGTCCGGAACAGGTGTCAACCACCATTATGGCTGTTATCAGGAAGAAAATGACATAATCAGTATAAAATGAACTCCATGTGAATGTAACATATAATCCACATATTTAACAGTTTTAAAAGGCTTTTCTACTTGCAAGGTAAGTTTAATACTATGTGAATTATTTTCTGTGTTTTCTATTTAATCTCTCAGATCCTTAGTGAAAAAAACCAATGGTTTTTTTTCCCATTAAATGCCATAAGAAATTAGAAAACCAAAAGCAGGCTTTTCCAGTTATTAGTTATATTTTGGGGGGCAGAGTCATATTCCCTCACCCCCACTCTAAAACATCCATTTATTTTCCATCCCTGTATCACTAGACCCCTTCAAAAAGATTCATGAGTAAGGTCAGTGCCACAGCCTTGCTGACCACACTGTTCAAAAAGGCATCTAGGGCTGTAGCTCAGTGACAGAGTGCTTGCCTAGCATGTGTGAATCACTAGGTTCCATCCTTAGCATCGAATAAAAATAAATAAATAAACAAAATAAAGGCTTGCTGTCCATCCAAAACTACCAAAAAAAAAAAAAAAAGGCATCCAATCTTCCCTAGATCTACCTGTGAGAAATACAATGCCCCTCTGGGCTAGTCTTCAGCTTTCAATCATTGTCCAATGGCTGGATGGGAAAAAAATCTCAACGTCTACATTTCTAATTACAGGTAGAGGGTGGCCCATTCTCTCCTAGCAGAGTCTGTGGGGCTTTTACTTTTTAACGGAAGATTAACTGAACAAAAAAAATACGAAAAACGAGGGCTTAATAAAAACAGTGGCTGAGCCCCACAACTCTAGTATTAAGCAATCCTAACTTCAATTTCCAGCTCTGTCACCTACTGTGTGGAAATCTGCCATGTACAAAACTAATTTTTTAAACCCTGACTTTTTCAACCCTAAAATGGGGTTAAGGCTATCTAATTTTTTAAATGGTTTTAACTTTCATTGTAAATTACAGCATATTAGCTAATCTTGAACACTAGCATATGGCACACCAATTCAATATTTTCCTAAATATATCATTAAACTGAAATCTTATAGATCCACAATTTAGTGAGAAAACAGAACTTCTCCCATGTGAATAAAGAATTTAAGAGGAAACCAAGTAAAGTTCTAAAATGGTACAAACCTCAAAAAGCCAATCGCTTTTGCCAATAAGCTCCGCCTCCGTGCAAACCCAACCCTTTTCCGGCTGCCCCACCCAGCCTCTCACACTGGAGCCCCACCCCTCTCCGCGAGGTCCCGCCCCCCACACCTGATCCTGGTTCCCATTGGGCAATTCTGGACGTTGTATACACACTCGATACACGCACGTTTGGCCAGGGCGTCTTCGCGCCTGCGCAGCAGAGCGGTTAGGCAGCTGGACACTGGGGTCTGGGGGGAGGGGGGCGGAGGTCAGGCCGAATCTTCCTCCGTAATAAGAAGCGACGCGTCCTGCCTCCCGCGGTCCTGGCTGGGCGGATCAGGCCTGGGCGCTGGAGCTGCTGTGGCTCCCGCCGCGGCGGGTGCGATGGAGGCCGTGCCGGAGCCCAGCACTCACGCCGGGGGAGGCCGAGACAGCCCGCGGTGCTAGTAGATGAGGCGGCGGCGGCGGCGGTGGCAGCCCTGGCTCTCCATGAGCAAGCGGCGGCGACGACGGGTGCGGCGGCACCGGCGGTTTTCGGTCCCCGGGGAGGTACGAGGATTCAGTTTCCTAGTGGACAGAGACTGGCCGATGTGTGAATGCCTTCCGCGACCCGGCCTTCCCKCCCATTTGCTCGCAGTCCCAGGCTCTCGGCGGGGGCATTGCCCGGATGGAGGCAGGAGCGCCCAGCAGTCTCACTCGCTCCAGGTTCCGGGACTCGCCCTCTGTGCGGAGCCAGCCCTCGGTGCCAGGCCTCCAGGGAGCGCAGCCGGGTGGGCGTGGCCAGAGGAGAGAGCTGGAAAGGGGTGTCCCTAGCGCGCGCCGCAGGTCCCTGTCCCGCAGCGCTTCCAAGAGGAGCGCGTGCTCGTTCTTTCAGAGGAGTATTTCGGGGGCGCTTATTCGAGGGGGGACTCTAGGACTTCTGAATTATTTGGAGGTATGGCATTCAGTGCCTAGGGCAGGTAGTCTGATCCTTTCTGCCAACTTGGGGTACAAATTGCCACTCTTGGGAATGACTGGAAAGAAAAGGTGGTGTTTTGCCAAGGAAATGGAGGTTAGGAGGGTTTTCCAGATTTATTCAACTGGAGGCCCTGTTGAGGCAGGAAAGTAAGTCCTCCAGTGTTTCCAATACATTGCCTAACGGAACAACCTTTTCAACGATGTGGCAAAACTTAAGGCAATTTAAAGTAAAGTTGTCTGCAGCCATCTCTCCATCGGTTTTTTTTTTCTCCTTTTCCCTATTTTTATTGCAGTCTACTTTTGAGCATATCACCAAATTARTGCTTAAACTAGGTTCAGTGTCCATTAGTTCTTCCAGTCTTCCCTTGCTAAAGTTAGGTTCATGCCATGCATTGTGGTTTAATTTTCTCAGATTATAACTATTGCTTTGAAGAGCTACAGTTACCTTCATTTGGTCATGTTTAAGAGATAATTTGAAAACATACTAGATTAAATCATCCTTTCCAATGCAGTATTAGGAATCTGAACTCAAGCTTCTTAAGCAATCTTAAACCTGCTACAGGGTTCTTTAAAATTCAAGAGATATAGCTCAAATCATGAAAAAGTGTATTTTAATTTTTAAAATATTTGAATGCTTATGGTTTTTTAAAATCTCTGAAAACGAAAGTTAGCTTCTATTAAGAAATGAGTGTGTTTTCCTAAAGTTTAGATTTGCCACACCCTCTTATTTCTAAGTGGTTGACCTCCGACATGCCATGTTAGCAGACTATATATAAACATTTACACTTCAAACTAAATATAGTGTTGAATATTTTAGAGTCCACAATATCTTGCTTCAGATGGAAAACACTGCATGTGTTTTATCTAATATATTGTAGAACCGAATTTTTAGTTGGCTAGTATTGTGAAATAGATTTGAACTTAATTTTTTCACACAAAACCCACAGGTCTGCAGTATTATTGGGGATTGGGCTCATGTTGTGCTTGGGAAAATGAAGCAGTTGAAAAGATGGTCAGTATAAGACACCGACTTCAGTCACTTCATTCCCTGTTCTTATTCTTCAGATGCTTCCTTTTTTTCATAAAAATACACTTTTCTGTAAAAGTTAGAAAACAATGTGTTTTTAGTTTATACATCTATTTGTCCCAAGTAAAATGAAGTAACTTTTTCCAATACAATTTTAATAGGAACTTCGAAAAAATTTTTTTGGCTTTATAAAACATACTTAGGGTACAAACATGTTTATCAAAATAGTGTCAGTGGCTTTGAAAAGAAAGTATTTAGCTATCCTTAAGGTGAGGGGAAGTTAAATGCCAGAATTAGTCTTTGTCTAAACCTTTGCTATACACAGGTTTTTTAATACTGCAGATAAAATGTATAGTATGATTAATATAAAGAACACTAAGTGGCTCTTATCCTATAGCCCCAAACTAAGGATTCCACTATATCAGTTTCTTAAGGGGAAACACAAATATAAGGAAATGGAAGCACAGCTTCAATTTTAAAGGAAAGAGGAGGTTTACTTTAGGAATATGTCTAAACAAATTTAGTTTATTTTCATTTAGGATTTTTTTTATTATATGGTTTTCCTATACAGATAAAATCTGCAATATAATTAATATATATGCCTATCAGATGGCTATTCTGTACCCCCMAAAAAAGTTCTGTCTTCTTAAATGGTCTTTATGGAGATCATAAATATTGCCCCTAAAACTGTACATGCATTTACATGTTCTGTTTTAAACTTTTCAAATGCAGGATGAAGACACTGTTTGAAGAGATCAAAGCATCAATTAAAAATAACTATAACCAAGATCGATCATTTTGGAGGCCTGTTCTTCCTTGGGGAGGTGTTTTTACTATCAAAGCTGGCCGCAAAGCAGTATCCTGTACACCACTCTATGTTGAAATAAGACTGAAAAATACCTGCACCATAGATGGATTCTTGATGTTATTGTATGTCATTCTTAATGAAAATGAAAATTTTCCTAGGGAACTCTCTCTTCATTTTGGTAGAGAGTTTGTAGACTGTTTTCTTTATTTAATGGACACCTACAGTTTTACAACTGTGAAGCTACTTTGGATTTGGGACAAAATGGAAAAACAGCAATACAAATCTGAAGTTCATAAAGCTTCATTAATAATTGATTTGTTTGGGAATGAGCATGATAACTTTACAAAAAATCTCGAAAATCTCATGTCTACCATTCAAGAGAGTTACTGTTCCAACTGGCGATGCCCGACTCGAGTACAGGAAGATCAGCAGCGCACAATTAATATAAAGTAAGTTGCTGTAATGTCTGTTTCATGGCTTTTGTTTTTAAATCAGTATTATATATATGTATGTATGTATGTATGTGTAACCTTTCAATAGCAAACTAATGGATTAAAGGGCACTTTCCTGTTTTTGAATGTTTCATTTTTCAAATGGGTCTCTGTCAGAAAGGCTAGTTCCAGATGAACAAGAGAATTTTTTTTAAAATCTTATGTCAAGGCCAGGACATAATTATAGACAGAAAACCCAAATTTGGCATCTAATACCTGGGAAGGATGTGGATGTGAGGAGCTTTTATACAGACTGGGAAACGTGCTAGGAGCAGCACAGTGTTTTTGGCTTTCAGAGAGAGGGCAGACATCCAAGCTGGTAAATGACAGAGAGGGAGGCCAAACTGGCAAGCCCTAGTGGAATGCTGGGAAACATTAAATCCCCCAGGGAACATGAGCTGAAAAAGGAATAATTGCCCATGGAAGAGAAACAGACCCAAACATGTTGTTGTCAGAAAGGATATTTGGCCCTGTGGTTCAGAAAAGCATCCTAATTCCCTTTGGGAATGTACATCACACACCCTAATTAATTTATTAAGCTCACATTTTCTGAAATATACTTTGTCTTTTCCCTTATATTGCTGATACAGTGATGCTGGCTTTTAAATGTATCAGAAGAAAAAAATGTTCTTACTTTACATCATAATGGGCTAAAAAGTATTTCATAAATTTATCTTGTTTTTTAAAAACTAGTGGGTCTGGGGATGTAGCTCAGTTGGTAGAGTACTTTCCTAACGTGCAGGGCTAGGTTAGATCCCTAGCACTGAAAAAGAGAAAGAAAAAAAAATGGTTTTTAAAAACCAGTATTTTTTATCTGTAAATCTTGTAAAAATATAATGAAGTGTAATTGTACAGTGATACTAATATTTTATACTTCTCTCACTTAATATATGTTCATTGTTATAAGCTGTTTAAGCTTCTATTTTTTAAAATCTAGCATTTAAAACAACTTTGAAGAATATAGGAAAAATTTTATTAACAGATCAGGTAACTGAGGCCAAGAATGTTTGTGATTTGCATCTAGTCAGGTAAATTATCAGCTGCTCTCCTGACTCTGGGCCCTAGTTTTTACTCACTAGAACATATTGCCTCTGATTTTAGGGGCTGGAGGACATTGTTTATTTGGTTTTGTTAATTAGAGTAGCAACAACTGAGTATTTCAAGACTGGTTTACAGAAAACTTTGTTTCTTAGAGAACTTTATGCATTATCTGGGAGCGGGGTGGCACACACCTATAATGCCAGCAGCTCAGGAGGCTGAAGCAGGAGGATTGAGAGTTCAAAGCCTGCCTCAGCAAAAGCAAGGAGCTAAGCAATTCAGTGAGACCTCGAGTCTAAATAAAATACAAAATAGGGCTAGGGATGTGGCTCACTGGCTAAGCACAATTCAATTCCTGGTAGGAAAGAAAAAAAAAAAAAACCTTTATGCATGAATATTTATTGAGTTGAGTTCAACTGGTTTCTGCAATAAATACAAAAATGGATAACAGATTGTGCTTGGTATACTTGGTTCTGCTAATAATGGATCAACCTGTAAAATTTGTTATCCCAATAATGTATTGGCCTATAAAATGTTGAAGCAGTTCTTACATGAATTTTACAATTATTATAGTCCTCCTCAAGAAATTCCACATGGAAACTTGATACGACTGGCTGTGGATGAGTTATTCTGTTCTAAGATTGAACTGTGTGAAGAGCGTGGGTGAGTATATGATAGACATTTAAGATGAAAGTTTTCTATAGTTAAGATAACATTTTTCTGAAATATACTTTATCTGTTTCCCTATATTACTGATACAGTGATATCTATTTTGAAATATATCAGAGGAAAAACATTCTTGGATTAATGTGCTGTTTGAAGTTAATATATGATGAAATAGCATCTCATAAGTATTTAGGAAGCCTAAACCTTTTTGAATCTTCTTAACAGACCTACTATGCCATCTTATGTTGTGTTTTCATTATCAAATATCACTATATAAAATATAGTACTACAGCTAATTGATGAATACAAAGCAAATGCCTTTTCTTTTTTTCCCCATTGCTGAGTAGGTACAATAAAACCTTGATTAACCGGAACCCAGCTAATCGGGACCCTCAATTAACTGGATTTTTTTCTGCATTCCTCCTTTAGGATAAAGAGGTAAATGGCAATGAAAAAATTGAACTTAGTAAAAAAAAAAAAAAAAAAAAAAAAAAGTCCACGGACAGAACCTACTCAACCCAGTCTCTTAGCAATTTCTATGTCTACATTATTGAACAATGAAAATTAGTATTTGGAAGAATGATTTTATTACTAATCACCAAAGAAGGGAAGATACAAATACATTCAGTAACTTGTTCTTATTAAGTCCAAAATGTGAACTAACATGTTTCAACACATAATTCTAAAACAAATTATTTTCTGGCTAACTTGGTGTAGTCACTAATGTTTRTTATCCAGACTCCCCCCCCCCCAACATTCCGGTTAATCGAGATTTTACTGTATAATTATCTTTATTGTATTCTGATCCTTTTGCTTAAATACCTAATAATACTAAGAAAAGAGGACTTGTTTAATGCTAATAGAAGATCTTAAATGGAAAAAGAAAGCAATTAGAGTCATTATTTGAAACCATATAAATAGAAAAATATATCTACAAATGAAGACTTTTATAACAGTTCAGGAGACACAGTGCTTTTATAACCTTGGAAAGAAATGACTCACTTTTCCAGGAGTTTCTTTTTTTTTTTAACATATTTTTTAGTCATAGGTAAACACAAAACCTTTATTTATATCGTGCTRAGGATTGAACCCAATGCCTCACGCATGTTAGGGAAGCACTGTACCACTGAGCCACWACCCCAGCCCTCCAGGAGTTTTAATAGTATTACTTCTAGTGTAGAAAATGTAGCCAGTAAACTTCTAGGAATATATGAGGTAAAATATAACCATATCATTGCCCATACCTATAATAGATGATTATACTTACTAGAAAATTAAAGTCATAAAGACAACTCAGATAATAATGTTGATTCTTATTTTCCACTTTAGGTGTGGTGGCTTAAGAGAATTTTCTCAGCGAGTTTTCTGCCATGGCGCACCCCCTTTTGTTGTCCTAAATATGCAACATTGGAAATCTGAAGATCTGGCATATGTACCCTATTATTTGGATTTATCTGATCACAAGTAGGTGATTTGGGTTTGCTTGCTTGACAAAAACAGTAAAAAATAAGTCTTTTTGTTTATTCTGGTCTTTTATGATTTTGACTAGCCGTTAAAAAGATATTATTGAAGCCAGGTACAGTGGCCATGCCAATAATCCCAAGGTCTCAGGAGGCTGAGGCAATAAGATCACAAGTTCAAGACCAGCCTCAGCAACTTAAGTATACTCTGACTCAAAAAAAAAAAAAAAAAATAGCTGGAGATGTAGCTCAATAGTAAAGCTGCCCTGGGTTCAATGTTCAATACTAAAAAAATAAAAGAATCTACTATAGGTAGCTAGCCGATTACCTGTAATCCCAGTGAATCGGGAGGCTGAGACAGGATTGYAATTTCAAAACCAGCCTTGGCAACTTAGTGAGATCCTGTCCCAAAATTTAAAAAAGAAATTAAAAGGACTGGGGATGTAGCTCAGTGATAAAGGCCTCCTAGCTTCAATTCCCAGTTAAATAAAATAAATTTACAGGAAATTAGTCACTAACAGTGGCCACAATGATTAGAAACTTGGGATTATGGAACAGATGGGGATTGAAGCCAAGGGTGCTCTAACACTAAATATCCTTAGCCCCTTTTTAAAATTTTATTTTGATACCGGGTCTCAATAAGTTGCCAAGGTGGCCTAGAACTTTGGATCCTCCTTCTTCAGTTTCCTAAGTTCTGGAATTATAGGCATGTACCACCATGCCAGGCCTACCCCATTTTTTTTACAAGCTATATAAGCTTTGGCCAATTATTTAACCAGTGTACACGTAAGTTTTCTTATCTATAAAATAGAGATGACAGTGTTTTCCTGGTGCCATTATTGGAAGAATTTGATAAGGTAGCATATGCTATGTTTAGGGCAGTGTCTGACACTTAGTAGGCACATAGTAAACCCTGACTTACTTTCTTTCAAATTAGTGTTGAGTTGTATTCAGGAGGTCATCATTTAAACTTAAATTGTTACTTGTTCTTATAAATAAAATCATCTGTATACAAATCAGGAAATAGAGGGTACTTATTAACTTTTGCCTTCAAAAGTTTTCTTGTGTGTTCTCTACTGTTTTAATAGAACAGCACAGTTGTAAGTTTGTTTGTTAATTCTTCAATTATATCAAGGTTTTTAAATATTTTACTTGAAGTCACCAATTATAGTACATAATTTATATGGATAGCTGCATGGGCTCTCTCTCGTCCAGCGAGGAGGTCCACGGAACAGGGTAGAAGACAGCATGGCTGTGGAGTGGCTAATCAAGACCTTCCGGAGACCAAGCAGAAAGCGGGTCTGATTTTATTGCACAGTAACCATGTATATCTACTCAGGCAGTAGCTAAGCAGATTACAGGCAATTTCTGCTAACCATCCTTGCATTGACCAGTTGAGGAGTGGGCCATGGAGCAAGTGCAGGGACTGCAACACATGGCCTCAGGCCTACAGAGTAAGCAGTCTACCTGCACTTACACGCCTAGCACAAGGGGAGTGGCCTGCCACTCAGAGGCCCTTAACATATGCCTTTTTAAAAACAATTTTGTTTTTATTTCTTAATTAAGAATTTAAGGAATATTTTTCTTAAAAACAAAGTATTATGATTTTCCACTATACTTTATTATTTAATTTACAGGTATTTGTTGGAAGGTGCCACATTATTTAATAAAGAAGAACACCATTATTCTGCAGCTTTCCAGATTGATGGACATTGGATGCACTATGATGGCCTCAGAAATGTGAATTTAATTTTGTTAAATAAACCCCCAGAGTTTCTCCTCTTGTCATCATTGGTTTATATTCGAGCAACAGAGAAATAAATATAGACTGATGCTAAATTAAATTGTTTTCCCGCCTGCCCATGCTCCCCTAGATGAAGGGCTTTTATTTTGTGTATACTTGGTATCCAAGGAAATAGTTCAACTATACTAGTTTCAGAGGTGTATTTTCCAGTGTTTAACCCAGGTAAATGTTTTATATTCAAGATCTATGCAAAAATGTTTATATTTCTTTTTTATATTTCCTGGGTTATTTTTATACAATCATATTTTATGTTTAAATAAAATATATATCTTGTGGCCTTTGTATTTTTCATTTGTATGTATTTCAAAGGTTTTCATACTACTTAAATTCAAGAAAATGCTTTGTCATTTGAATTCTAAATTTTTCTTTTTAGTTATCCAAGTAAAAGCTGAGTAAAAGTCAGTATTTTAGTTTATACAATTCAAAAGTTCAAGATATATCTGACCATATTTCTTTGCCCTACCTCACTATAATTCAAAGTGCACTATTGGGTTTAGTTCGAATGTACAACTTACAGATAGCTTAGTTTATTTTATCCATTGCTTTGCATAATTTCCCTACAGCAATTTAAAAAAAAATTTTACATAAGATTTTTTTTTTCCTGGGCCTAAATTTTTTTATAATGGAAAATTACAGTTAACTACTTGCTAAAATATTCTAAATCTACCAATGGATCCAACCCTAATTAAAGTCATTATAAATAAATTATGTCATGATTAAATATAATAGAAATTCTCCAATAAAAATTATTTTGCAAATAAGACAATTATAAAAACTATTATGTAACTGGATGTTTACTAGTGTTGGAATAACAATAGAAATGTACTTTAAATATATATATTTTAAAGGRAAATGGGTACCTGGGGAATATTTATTCTTTTTTTTTTTTTTTTTTTGGCAGTGGTGGGAACTGAACCCAGGCCTCTCATGCTAAGCAAGTGCTACATTTCAGCCTGTACTTGTTTTCCTAGTTAAGTTTTATATTGGCACAGAAAAAAAAAAAACTTTATTTTTTTTTAAGAGAGAGAGAATGAGAGAATTTTCATATTTATTTTTTAGTTTTCGGCGGATACAACATCTTTGTTTTGTATGTGGTGCTGAGGATCGAACCCAGGCCTCACGCATGCCAGGCGAGCGCACTACTGCTTGAGCCACATCCCCAGCCCAAAAACTTTAATTTTTAAAGCAATATCTGTTGGCTCCCTTGTAAATAATAATTGATAGCATGAGGTTTTGATTTKCAGTATAAATCACTAAAATTCTATAGTTAACTGAATATCATGTTTCATTGAAAGGATACTGATTGTTCTTACTGTTGTAATTTAAGGCAAAAAAGCAAAGTCAAAAAAATATTTTTTGAAAATCATCACCATAATTATAATGTTTACACTTCAGTAAATAGTCTGCTTTAGGTTTTGGGTTGAGATTAGGTGCAATTTATTCAAAGACTTTTATATGATAGCAGTTCACTGCCATATACCAAATTGCTAAAGTTTCATTCAATAAACATTGCCTTGGTGCCATGTTGAGATAACTTATGAATGGATAAATATGGGTGGAAAGTTGCTGAGAATGCCTCACTTTGAATACTATAAAAATTGCTTTTTTAACAAAAGATTAAAAAATGATTCATTTTTACCAAAAGAAATTACCCCAGTTTTAAACAGTCCCCCAAGTGTTATAAGATTTGATTTACAGTAAACTTACCTGGTAACACATTATTGCATGAATCAAAATATACATAAGCAAATATTAGACTATACATAAATGGTATAATTACAAATTATTAATGACAATTGTTTCTAATGTAGATTTATTCTTTTAGGAATTGCACTTTATTTAGAATATTTCTTTATTATAAAACAATGACTTGCCTACCTCACAGGGTTGTTGTGAGGATTAAGATGTTTGTTAAAATCTTGACTACCTTGAACATGCTAATAAAAAACATGTCTTTTTCTACCTCTTTCATGTAGAGGAAGTCTCCCAGGTTCTTTCTTATTAACTTTTTAATTTAAGAGTTTTAATAAATATTTAGGCAGTAGCTCATATCACTGGTGCATTTAATGTGGAATGGGAATTAAATATATCTTCTTGACCCTAGATGGTTGGGATTTAAGGAGAATCAAGTAGCTTATTGTTAATGGTAGGATCTGGTTGGTAGAAAAGAAATTATCCCTCCTGACCAAACAGTAAATGGAAAAGAGGTCAAAAAGAATGAACAGTATGGGCAGCTTAAACTAGTCTGTTTACAAAATGTGAAGGTGAAGGTATAAAACATTTTTATAACTCTAAAACAACTTAGAAAAATCAGAATAATCCCTTGGGAAAAGAGAGCAAAAGATATGAATAATCAACATATGCTTTTAATCAAAATACCACAAACTGCTACTATATTTATGGGAAAGAAAAATAATTTTAAAAATCTTGGCCACTACCACGTATCATGACACACACACCTGTAATCTAGCTATAGGTAAGGCTGAGGCAGGAGGATCACAAAAGTCAAACAAAGCAATTTTAGTAAGACCTTGTCTCAAAATCTAAAGAAAGAATTGGAAATGTAGCTCATTGGTAAAGTGTCTCTGTGTGCAATCCCCAGTACAGAGAAAAAAGCAAACAAGAAGAACCTTGGCCAAACTTGGGATAAAGAATAATTAAAGCAAATTTAAGAAGTAATCTCCCAACTTGTTTCTCTTCGGCAAAGAAACTATTTTCTCTCCAACTCATGCAAATAATCTTACTTATATTTAYCCTTGAAAGTAGCATTTTGCTATAAATTACTTCGTTTGTTTTGTATCTGAAATAATATGATTATATTTGATGCAATGAATAACAAAGAGAAACTAGTGATAACACTGGTGAAGGCATGAGTAAGAGGGTATCCCATACTCTATTTCTTTTTTTTTTTTTTAAAGAGAGAGTGAGKGGGGGAGAGAGAGAGAGAATTTTTTAATATTTATTATTTTTTAGTTCTCGGCGGACACAACATCTTTGTTGGTATGTGGTGCTGAGGATCGAACCCAGGCCGCACGCATGCCAGGCGAGCGCGCTACYGCTTGAGCCACATCCCCAGCCCATCTATTTCTTATAGTATGAGCAAATTATATAAGCAGATAATTTGTGGCACAAAAGCTTTATTAGGTTTGTATGTTAAGCATACAAACCATTTATAACTAAGTTGCTTAATGACATAACTATTTCAAAGAAAAACTAAGGCACTATAAGTAGGCAGAAAGAGTAAGCAGTTCATGTAAAATGACCACTAAGCTCAGCCATAGTGAAGAATCCAGTTTTGCTGGCTGCGAGTTGATACCAGCAGACATTCCTCTGCTATGATCAGCTGCTAACTCTAGAACAGACTTTCTCAGCTGCAGAGTCCAGCAACTTATGCAGATCCTACCCACTAGCAAAAGTGGAAAAAGTGTTTTCATCTCAAACTCCAGTTTTAATAGTATCCAAAATGCCAGAGTTTGAATTTAGATGGATAGTAAAACAGGCAGTTAAGGACACACCACCTACCCCTAAGAAACTTGTTTAATTATAAAGGCCAGTCCATAGGACTGAGGTTGGGGCTCAGTGGTAGAGCACTTTCCTAGCACACACAAGGCATTGGGTTCAATCCTCAGTACCACTTAAAAATAAATACATAAAGGCCAGTCCATGAGATTAACCTTAGAAAAGCATTCCAAACATTTCAACTTCTTTGTCTAGAAGTGGTGGAAAAAGGGAAGTGAACCAAACCTGAATGAAGGCTTCAACTTTTAAAAGAATTTATTATAGCTAAAGTAATCCACATAGTTAATAATCTCATTCTTGTTTCTGACAGAAGAAGTGAGAATCACTTGGGCTAGACAACCTTTAACAGGTGAAAGAGGTGTCAGCTGGACTCATGGAGAAACAGTTGATTACCAATTCTTGCAGTATTTTTTATGAACGCTAGGTGGCAGACGCTCCTTGCTGTAGCAAGTGAGGGACCCAGAAAGAGAACAACACCTGAATAGTTTGGCCATTCCATTCTATCATCTGAGTGAAACAAATCCAATTTTTGTTTTGTTCAGTGCCACTACACACACCCATAACTGGGGGGAATCACACAGTTGTGATGCCTTTAATAAAGTTGGTGGTGTTCTCTCTGCCAACAATTCCCCAGCTGAAATATTTGTAAAGTGACTCCTGGGGTTTCTTCACCTATTTCCTCCCAACTCTCATGGTTTCAAAAGCCCTACCCTCTTTCTTCTCCTCTTCTTTTGAGAAACCTTAGAAGKTCCTGTCTTTGGTGAGCTTTAGGAAATCACCTGATTCAGGTTTAACCTTTTTCCACCTAGGAAAAAGAATTGGAATTGCCAACTTTCTCAGTGAATCCTGATATGTGATCGAGTAGCCACAGTTTTTGTCAATTCTTTTTATTTTTTTTRATTTTTAGGGATTTTTTAAAATTTATTTATTTTTGACTATTGAGGAGGTTGTATTTTATTTTTATTTTTTTTAATTTTTATTGTTGGTTGTTCAAAACATTACATAATTCTTGATATATCATATTTCACACTTTGATTCAAGTGAGTTATGAACTCCCATTTTTACCCCATCTACAGATTGCAGAATCACATCAGTTACACTTCCATTGATTTACATATTTCCATACTCGTGTCTGTTGTATTCTGCTGCCTTTTCCTATCCTCTGCTATCCCCCCTCCCCTCCCCTCCCCTCCCCTCTTCTCTCTCTACCCCATCTACTGTAATTCATTTCTCCCACTTGTTTTTTT